CCCGCCATATTAAACAGAAAGTACTCATTTTGTTGTCTGGTACCAATGAAAGCAACCTTATTGAAACGTCATAGTATAATTTTATGTTTCATGTGGACATGAGAGTACGCTTGGACCGAGCAGGTAGGTTGTAAACAGACGACATGCGGTAGCTCAACAGATTATGGGCAACTTGTAAAAAAATACCACACGATTTGTACTTTGTACAGTACAGTATATGATAATTCTATTGATTCAGTATATCTTTATTTGATTTTTATTGCCCACAACTAACAGTAACTGTTCATGTACGACATACCAACATTCCCTTTTTCCCATATTGGCAGACCTGGAGCAAGTCTCACACAAACACCACGATTTGCACCAACTACAATGCGACGCAATGCCTATGGCTTGGGCAAACCTCATCATGAGGATTCCTCATGAGGAGAGCCCGCGTAAAACGATTTTGAATACAGCCAAATGTTCGAATGTGAGAAAAAATTTTCTCAAGCAAGTCCTCTCACAAGACATTTGTGTTTAACACAGTGGCGTAATAAATTTGAAATGTAATGAATGTGTTGAATATTTTTCTCAAAAGGATCTTATCAGGAGACATTTACAGATATATCTCCATTAGTGGGAATAATTGGTGCAAGCTCTTCCGTGGACGAGATATTTTCGGGTAACTAGACGACTCAAATCCAGAAAAATCCCACATCCCAAAAATGTTTCTGGGCCCTGGGAAAGTTTATTGTTATTTTCAGGAAATTACGCATTAATTCATCCTCAGAATTTGCTCCCAGACCCAGAAAATATTGGAGAGTTTCCAGAATATTTTTGGAATTGTTCAAAATTGCTTGTTATTTATTTCTCGGAATATGCTCTCAGACCCGGAAAAAATTTGGATCGAGTTTCTGGAAGTATTCTCAGAATTTTCCAGTAAATGAGCCTGATTTTCAACCTTTGAATTTCCTCTCAGACTCAGAAAAAGAGATTTAAGAGAGATTTCCCGTTATTTTCTCAGAAAATGCACCTGATTTTCAACCTCGGAACTCTTCAACAACCGAGAATTTAGATAATTTTCCTTTTTACTTATTTTTTTTTACTTTTATCCTCTTCACCACTGATTGGATCATTAGCTGCTTGGGTCATCGGTCACATCTCTCTTACGCACTGTTGGCAAGTACTGGGCATGCACCGGCTCCTGAATGTATCTGAACCTGCTCCAGTAATTGTCAAGTCTGATCTTGAAAGAGCTCACACTCGGTGCCGTCACAATACTCTCTGGCAGATTGTTCCACAAGTTCACAACTCTCACTCCGATAAAGTTACTTCACAGTTTTCTGGACTTGCGGCTTCTTCAACCTTGAGCTGTGATCCCTTGTGGGGCAAGCATCCGCCAGCTTCAGGTAAGGGCACTCGAATGAGTAGTGCCCTTTGAGATGTTTATACACCTCAGTTAGGTCCCCCCGTGCCCGACTGTAGTATAAGCTAGGCAATTGTAGGCGTTCTAATCTCTCAGGGTAGCTGATGTGCCAAAGTGCTGACCAGAAGTGAAGGCACCAATGGATTCCTCAGGACTTATAATAATATCAACAAATTCCAAGCCCTCACATACAGGTAGTTCTGCTATAACGCGATAATTGTTCTTGTAAAATATCGTGTTATAGAAAATCGCGCAATAGAAATAACAGGGCTTATGGAGAAAATAGGGTTAGGTGCAGATTACTCGAAATCGAAAAAATTTAGTAGTTAGCCTAACACAAAGGATAGCACAGTCTAAATAAATGTTACATTCATATCTAATAATGAAATCATACAGTAAATGTAACACTTTACTTGATGGGGGAGAAGGGTGATTTTGAGGTTGATAAAATCGAGCTTCTCTTCAAGTGTTATATCCTTTCTTTTACGATCATCACTGGGAATTCTATCACCAGAACGCTTCTTGTTGATATTCTTCTTTACTATATTCACAGTTAATACAGTACCACAAAATTGGAGAAATAGTAAGCAAAAATCGCGTTATACAAATATCGTTCCTAATTCATAAATCGCGTTAGAGCAAATTCGCGTTATCAAAACACGCGTTATAGCAGAACTCACTGAACCTGAATAATTTTATCCAACTCTTGGAACAATCTACCAGAAAATGTTGTGACGGCACCGAGTGTGAACTCTTTCAAGACCAGACTTGACCAACACTGGAGCAGGTTCAGGTACATTCAGGAGCCGGTGCATGCCCAGTACTTGTGAATAGTGCGTAAGAGAGATGTGACCGATCGCCCAAGCAGCTAACGAGCCGATCAGTGGTGAAGAGGATAAAAGTAAGATTTGTGGTGCTTACTGGTACCGCCCAAACGGCCAGTAAGCTGATAAGTGGCGAATAAAAAAAAAATAGTCCATACATATCAGAGAGAGGCATATTTTGTATTGAATAAGCAACTAGGAGAATGTTGGTTTGATAGCAATCAGCAAACTGAATTTCAAATGGTAGATTTACTTTGAAACCAAAGATTGCAGACAGTAGCCTTGGTGACAGTACAGTAATGCAAATTGGACAGGCATGGCCCTGCCTCATGAGGGCAACTACAGTGCAGTACAGTATATAACATTTGATCACCCTCATCTCGTGGCAAATAGTGTGATGGGGATGGAAGGGTGATTGGAATACAGATACTCAAGATGGGTTTACAGGTCAACATCAGCTTGAAATATGGAGAATAGGGAGACCCCAGGCTCCAAGTAGCATGGAGCATTATTACCAGATCTGCATGGCTTAAGAATGTAAGTTAGAAAATGTACCAGGTATGTTAAAGCTGATGACTGTGTGGGTACAGTTAAAAGCATTAGCAGTGCCTAAAAATACCATCAAATTAATGCAGCTTCTAAGAAAACCAGTGCAAAGGAGGAGCAATCTTTAATCAGTTTGACATGAACAGAGGATTAACCCTGCAAATTGACGCTACTATCAAGTCATGGGAGGGTCAAGTAACACACGTATTAGTGTGATGGTGGAGACTTCGCCTTCAGACTTGATTGATAATCACCATCTTTCAGAGATCTTATTTAAAGGGATTGGGTTGTGGCAGAAAGGTTAACTAATTTTCAAATTAATTCCAATCAACAATGTCGAGGGTCTTGGGAACCCTGAATTTTTAACCCAAAGATTGTTTAATTGTATACTGTACTTAAGTTGCCCAATCAAAGTAGTACAGTATCAGGCTCTAAAATGTGAGGTGTTATTTTGTCTTGACATGAAGCAGGAGAGCTCTGCATACCTAAACCATTTATAAACAAATCCTTGTGTCATCACAGAAGGCTGTACAGGTAGCCCCCGACTTACGACTGCCTCAACTTATGTCCATCGGTACTTACGACCTGCTCTGACCTTATGACCGTCGGGACATATGACCGCCGCAGTCATGACCATTTTTTTTTTCAAAAGGACGCGCGCATTTTCTATATCGAAACGTTTCCAGTTAAAGTAGTGTCCATGTATAATTAGAAAATTATGGGGGCCCCGTGTGCATTCAGCTGACTACATTAAAGGTAAGTGCTCAGTCACACTGTATCCATTCCTCGTTATTTATTACTTTTACTGTACTGTATTTCATTGTTGATTTTTATTTGTATTTATTTATTTATTTATTTATTTATTTATTTTTTATCTATGTCGGTCTTATGACCTGGATTTGGGTTCCTTACCCCGTCATAAGTCGGGGAGCACCTGTATATTACAAACTTAAAAATTATAAGCCCATAACACTAGGGCAGTATTAAACCTCATGCATTCACCCACAATAACTGTTGAAAGTTAATACAGTACGATACAGTGATATCTCCCTTACCAGGAACAATTGGTGCAGAGCACTTCCGGGAATGAGAGATTTCTGGGTAACGAGACAACTCTCTCAAAGCCGGAGAAAATCCCTTATCCCCAGAATATTCCGGGTAACCGAAAAAAAATTCTGGGAAGTTCCAGAAATTGGCCATTACATCATATCTTGAACCCGGAAAAATATCCCCCATTCCCGGAATTTTCCGGGTACTGTTAAATTTTCTTTGGAATTTCCGAAAAATGCGCCAGACATTCATCTCTCAAACCTGGAAAAACTCCCACATTCCCGGAATTTTCCAGGTGTTGGGAAAATTTTCTCATAATTTTCTGTTAAATGCGCCCCTCGAAATATCGTTCCCAAAGCCGTTATTTTCCGGAAAATTCCTGCTTTGGGAATGATTTTCCAAGAAAATTTCAATTCCGGCTTTAGGAAAGTTCTGGGTTTGAGGGATTCTGGCTAATGGAGATATTACTGTAAATTGTCACAATTGGCTTGGTTCCCCAGGCAGCAATGCAGCAGTTGCCAAGATATCTATTTAAGCAAGAATTATGTTTCTTATGAAAAAGATATAAATTAATTACTGGACAATGATTTACTAAAATTCTTTAAGTGATTATTCTTTACAAAGAATAAATTTATCATTACTATCTAATAACTCATGCAAGTGAAGGTAATGCCAGATAATTTTATCATCATAGGGACTCCTTGTATCCATGGGGTTAAAGTGCATAAGGAGTCAATGACTCATTGTAACCTAAAGAGACGGATACAGTACTGTACTGTATTTGGTTTCAATTACAAGTTGAAAAAAATATAGGATCGTTCAAAATCTTTTTATTAACAATTCTTATGAGTATCATTGTACGTCTTCAACTTGGAGCTACACAAGGAATATTATTCCAACATTTTTTCACCATAAAGGTTATTCACATTACATTTTGCTTAAGTACCACAAATTTCATAGAAAGTCAGGCCTAATGCAGTGGAACCAATAATGGTAGTGACAACAGCCCAGCCACTGTACAATAACATCCAAACACCACTCAGTTTGAGTGAAGAATAACACTAAATGTACCAAGACACACAGGTACATTCTCTAAAAACTAAAATTAAATGTCTATGCTTTGTACTGTAATACAGGGTCTGTATACCATAAAAGTGACAAAAAAATACACATTAATATAAAATACTTTATTTCTGAAACCATGAATGGAGCTGAAGTTAATAAACAATTTCCTTAACACAAATACACAACTCTAAAGTTATTTAATCCATTTCTCAAATATTTATTTTGTTAATCATTTACTAATTCCAAAATATGCATATACAGTACAGTACTTAAATTGCAGTTTATTAAAAAAGGTGAAATCCTGTAATAATAGTTATAAAATCAAGCACCTTTGTAGTATGTGTTATTTATTACCACTCACATCCACATTGCACAGGTATAATATGCGGTACAGAACTCTACAGTAATGCCAAATCTGCAAAGGAAGTGCACAGAACAAACTTCACAAAGAATAAAAATACTGTTATCCACAAGGCACCGGTTTTTTGTGTAAAAATAATAGTGTAATACAAACAGAGGAAATAAAATTACTGTATATGTGAATGGAATGCACATGCGAGACTTTGAGTATTCTTAAATTATACTAATGAAATAATAAACATTTTACATATACCTGTAGTAAGATTCTATAGGAAACATACAATCTGAGTTTACATTTAAACAGCGCTGATCTGGAACACAATCACCACAATGTGTGCCAAAGCAGTACAGGTACAGTAGTGTATGATAAATAACAATACATTACTGTATTTCATTTTGTAATCCATGAACCAAAAATTATTTGATTTGTTTGAGAATTTGGCACAGTCTAATTTAATATACATACTGATAGCTGTTCTGGTATATCCATGACTTGTAACTGGCTCAAGAAATGTGGCACTATACAGCTCCATTGAATTTAATCATGTTTTAAACACTTACAAGCACAGTACACTATGATCAATGTCATTAGTGAATTTTAGTACTGTACTGGGTATACAATATAGCATCAATGTATTAATCATTTACAGCAAATTTTAATTTCAAAGTTAGTGCATTTTGCTCACGAATATTAGCATCCTCTGGATATTCATAAGCTTTCTGTGGATTTGGTATATAAAAAGGATATATGAAAGCTGTAAAGTAGCGTCCAATCAGAGGATTTCTAAGGTGTTGAGGTTGACGTGCATGGCGAAGGTTCTCTTGGGCAAGATAACGAGCTGACCCGCCATCTGTAAGAACTCTATAAAATGGCTGATCTGTACCATGTGCAAGTCCTGTTTCTCCCATCAGCACCAGAGTATCTTCACTTTCTACACACATGGAATCCCAGTCATACACCACACACAAGTCTCCTCCTCGTTGTTCTAGCACTTCACCCACCGCGAACTGTACTTGCCAGCTTTTCCGATCCACACGCCTTTTCTGCACCATTTCACCTCCTGGCCATCCATGAGGCCAAGGAACACTTGCTAAAGGATTTAAACTTGAGTAACTCGCAATTGCTGTTGACAGTAGAGTTTTTAGCTCTGAAACCCTGGTGCGAGCTCTTTTGTCTACACTTGCTAGCATTCGTAATAAGTCCCGCATGGTGTTTGGCGGCTGTCCCATTCTTCTTCTGAAATTCAACAGTTTCTCTAGGGTGAGCTTTGAGTTGATACGTAGAAGAATACTAAGATGTAAGAGCTTTCCTAGTGTTTGATGACTTTCGTTCACTCTTAAAAGTTGGTGCATGTAGTGGTAAAGCCGACTCATTTTCCAATGTTCAACGTGCTGCCAAGCAGTGAATAAAAGACGAATTGGTTGATTGTATGTCTCTTCATCAAGTAAATCATAAAGAACAGGTTCACCAGCTTGCCATCTTTCCCCTTTCAACCAACATTCTGCCAAAAACACTATTTGTTGAATTATTGCTTGACACATGCCTGCAGCATCCACAGTCTGTCCTTCCTGCCAATCATTAAGCACAATCCTTAATGATGAAGGATCTTTTTTGCACAAGTCACAGGCATTTGAATACCCACTAACACCATCCTGACCAACATAGTAAAGTTTCCAAGTATCCAAAACATGATCTGTTATATTCTTGTGCACTTCAGCGTGTACCCCGAGACGATCTGCTATACACGACTCAATAATCAAAAGAAGTTTTGAGCTTCCTTTTCTGTTTAATAGAACCTGATCAATACAATAATGATCAGGTCCACTTTCATATAAGCTGTTGTTGATTTTAAAACCGGACTTATGTTTAATTACATGATGCACTGCCTGCACAATATCACAACAATGTTCACCTTTCCAAAAGCTTGAACATCCTTTTAAGAAGTCACATTTGTTTTCCATTTTACTACTGACTGGATTATCTGGATATTTTTCCTTTATGTATTTCAAAGTTTCACAAGCTAACTTATCCAAACTGAGCTTCACTTTGTTGATATCATATTCACTGTGTGTTGGCCGCAGGCTCACCACAACCCACAGCAAACCTTCCTCGTAGCTGTATTTTAGCGACTCCTCTGGTTGTGCGATAAACTTTTTCCACTCCGAGTTAATGACACAGCGTTCGTAGATGTGATTGTACAGTTTACCTGCATAATATTTCAAAGTTAAATCCATGCATTGAGGACCTGTGTTCATAATGTTGTGACACTCATCCAAAATATAAAATAGATTGGCTTCACCAAGTTCCTCTGTGAAAAGAGTCTCATACAGTGTCAGTGCCCGCCTGGGTATATCCGGCCACTCATAGTCATGGTACATTGACCACACAAATGTTCTCGACAGAGCCAAGATGCACTGTAACAGTTTCTTCTTGCACCGATACAGTGATACATATTTTGATTTCCAGTCTAATTTTTCTTTCCACACAAGTTCACTATGTTGGTAAACGTATGAGTAGTGTTGGCTGAGCTTCTTCTTCCATAGAGAGTTACGCTGACACACACCGTGAAAATACTTGCAGGTCACGGAGCAACTCACCACATCTTCAACGTTCACACATATGTCAGTCAAGATCCTTTCAAGGACTTCGTATGGAAGATTATCAATGGTCACACATTCCTCCATTGCAGAAGGAATTTTGTGTTATCCCACATGGTACGAGAAACAGCTGGAGATAGTTGAGCGGAGTGAGCAACATTCCGCCCGCCAGTGTTGGTGGTAAACAAACAGCCCAGAGATCAAAATAAACCAATGTATATAATTCTGTAATCTCGTAAAAGCATACTTAGAGAAAGAAATTATATTATACATTATATTTAACATAAAATGAAAGTGTTTAAACAATTAACAAACAGTTACTAGTAACAAAATAGAAAACATAATAATTTCCACTAAACGAAGTTCCCGAAATATACTCACATGAATCCGGACCAATTTTGTTTATACTGTATACCGCATAATTATACAGTATCTCATCACTCCATATATATATATATATATATATATATATATACTTTTTACTTTTATGCTCTTCACCGCTGATCGGCTCGTTAGCCACTTGGGCGATCGGTCACGTCTGTTACACACTGTTGGCAGGTACTGGGCATGTATTAGGCAGCTACCAAACAGGGAGGTACTACCGCCTGGGAAGATATTGGAAGCATAATGTGTTGTCTATGGTAGACCCTGCTGCCAAATGGCATCACGAAAATTGTGACCAACTCCCAGGTTGCTGAGCTGACTTTCTGCCTCATTTACACACAATTGCAGGATCTCAATTGTTTCTCTTACTATGGCAACACAACATACATATGTCGTTTCTCACTTCTGATCTGTTTTTCATTTTTGTATTTCTTTATGGTTCTTTATTATTATTATTATTATTATTATTATTATTATTATTATTATTATTATTATTATTATTATTATGATTACTATTACTATTATTAATTTTTGCCCCCCAGGCCCTGATGTGGGTCAGTGACCTGTGCCCGGGTGGGCTAATCCCCGTAAAAAAAAAGTACTGGCTCTGTTACACACTGTTAGCATGTAGCCTACTGAGCATGTACTGGCTCTGTTACACACGGTTGTATATTTCCCATAGAAGAGGTATCTGTAAAAAGTATATTCTTAATTATACAGTAATTTAAAAATACTCAAGTCTCGCATATGCTTTCCATTCTTGTACAGTATACTGTAATTATATATACACAAGTAACCGGTGTTAAGTTTGTCCTGTGCACTTTTGCAGATTTGGCATTACTGTAGAGTACTACTGTACGGCACATTATACCTGTGCAAGGTGGATGTGAGCCAGAATCTGATGTAAAACCAACACCAGCCCTCTGGAATAATAAGGAGAACAATAACTAGCATGCATGTTGCTAGAATAGCCCTCTCTTAAGCATCTTGTGCTGGGCATGGGAACACTGACTCCTCTGCCAATCAGGGCACCATGTGCTTTCTCTTCTGGGATGCTCTGTGAAGCCTGTAATGCCAACGGCACTTTGCACAGGCAAATATGTACCCCTGTGATCCGGTCTCATACACGGTGAAGCAACCGGGATCGCCTGGATGTGCTGCTAGCGAGTGCACAAAGATCAACTTGAAGTAAGACCACAGGTAATTTGACTTGGTATCCTTTGGATCGGAAACAGCGTGGGCATATTTATATAAAAAATGCCATATACCTTTCTATTAACTGGGTAATTTGGTATCAAAAATAGTTTCCAATGATTGATATGGTTAGGCATCACAAAAATTGTGACCAAGTCCCAGGTTGCTGATCTGACTTTCTGCCTCATTTACTCGCAATTGCAGGGTTTCAATTGTTACTCTTACTTTGACAACACAACATACCCTATACATACTGCATATCGTTTCATACTATTAATCATTTAAAAAAAATTTGCATATATTTATTATTATTATTATTATCATTATTATTATTATTATTATTATTATTATTATTATTATTATTATTATTATTATCATTATTATTATTATTATTATTATTATTATTATTATCATTATTACTACTTTTATTATTATTTCGCCCCCAGGCCCTGATGTGGGTCATTGACCTGTGCGCTGGTGGGCTAATCTCATAAAAAAAAAGGTTAGGTTAGGATATGTAGCTTAATAATAAAAAGCTGCAATATGTAATAGGCTGTTGAATTTTACTAAGTAACAGATTTTATTCGTAAAGTAATGTAACTGACTGACTTCTACCTATTGCTGTACATAACATGACACATAAATTATGAAACATGGGCTTTGGATAAGTTGTCAGTTTTCAGGAAAACAATAGAGTATTTCGGCTGTACTTTAAATGAAGTGGGACAAGTGGACACCTACAGTACATATTTATACTGGTTTAATTCAAGGACCTTGTATACAGGTATATGTTACGCCCGTTTGTGCACTCTGCAGTCATTTTGCCCAGTTGGTGAATTGGGTTCCTAACCCAACCCAACCCAACCTAACTTAAGCTAACCAAACCTAACTTGACCTAGCTAACCGTGGTTATGTGAGATTAGGTGGCAGGTCGATGTTCTTGTGAAATCCAAGATGGTACTGGAGATATCCCTGAAGTGGGATTATTGACTTTAATCCTTGATAATTTTTCATCTTTGCAGTAGTATCAAATACCTACTGTATTGTCAAGGGGTTTATTATTTTGCAATAATTTATTTAATCAGCATAGCAAATCCTTGTATGTAACACCGGTTTATGTTTTTCAGGTTAAATCTTCAGTGCAAGACAAATGATGAAGAGATACTGTATACAGAGTAGCGTCTATGGTAAGTACAAAGTCCTGAGTATTTGAAGCTTTGTCACTTTTTTATGAGTTAGGCTGGAGTGCTGTTTTAGATATGCACTTTCTGAATTATGATTTGTGTCAGGGGTTGAAATTACAAATGCAGTTGTATAGATGAAGTATATAGGTATTTTTTTCACTCCACCACAATTTAAAGTTTATTTTAATTTAAGTTAAAGTTCACGTCTCTTGTTGCAAAGGAAATGCAAAGTTTTTTTTTTACGAAGATGTAGTGTACCTACTGTAGATGAAATAGGTCCCTTATATGTAATAACAACATTGGTACTTATCATTAAATTAATTAGGCATGTGACCAGATTTGAAGGAATGAAAAGTGATAATTGTATACATATAAATCAAAGCTATGCGGGTTCAGCCTTTTAACTTAAAATTTCACCCGGCATGTTAGTAGGTGACTTATATTCTTGGATTGGCAACACTGGGTTCAGCGCATGTTCTTTTTTGTCGTCTCAACACACCGTAATTTTTTTCCCCTCAACGTAACACCTGCATCTTACGTCACACTCTTAAAATAAGACAATGTACAGAGAATCCGAATAATTAAATTCTATGTAAATATAATAAAAACTAGACTCTACAAAAAGTACCTGAAGATCAAAATAGATAAGGAAGGGGAACTCCTGAAGGTCTATTTGGTTCATGAATGTTAAATAAAATGACTTTAGAAGCTTAAGGAAATTTATTTATGTTTTGTGGATTTTTAAAACGCCTTTGAGAGTGAAAGATACAATAACCTAACAGATGTCTGGCAAAAATAAGCACCAATGTAGGAGATATTGGAATTATACAAAGAAAAGCTATACAAAGATCAAGTTAGTATAAGTTAAAGGCAGTTAATGTTTGTGTTAGGTTGTATTGTGTTAAGTGTGACTCCGGGTCCGGGTGTGTGTGTGTGACTCCGGGTCCGGGTGTGTGTGTGTGTGTCGCCAGGTGTGTGTGTGTGTCGCCAGGTGTGTGTGTGCTCTGGTGATGTGTTTGTGTGTTTGTCGAGTGTTACACATGATGGCTGTCTGGCGTACTAGTTGCTGCAGATAACAGCCCAGGAACCTGAGGGATGTTGCTCGTATATCTTGAAGCTATGACAGCACCACTAAAACCACTCACACCACCACCACCACTCCTGCCACCACCACCACCACAACTATGCTACTAACACCACCATCACCAATAACCACTGCCACCACCATTACCACCACCACCACCATTACCACCACTGTCACCAACACCATTACCACCAACCACCACCACCACTGTCACCAACACCATTACCACCACCACCATTACCACCAGTCACCAACACCATTACCACCACTGTCACCAACACCACCACCACAACAACAGTGAAAAATAAACAATACAAAATACAACAATAAACAACACAATAGACAAGAGTAAACAGAACATAAAGTAAACAAACCATAACAGTAAACAGAACACAGCAGTAAACAAACCATAACAGTAAACAGAACACAGCAGTAAACAAACCATAACAGTAAACAGAACACAACAGTAAACAAACCATAACAGTAAACAGAACACAACAGTAAACAAACCATAACAGTAAACAGAACACAGCAGTAAACAAACCATAACAGTAAACAGAACACAGCAGTAAACAAACCATAACAGTAAACAGAACACAGCAGTAAACAAACCATAACAGTAAACAGAACACAGCAGTAAACAAACCATAACAGTAAACAGAACACAGCAGTAAACAAACCATAACAGTAAACAGAACACAGCAGACAACAGCCAGTCATCACAAGCTGCCAGAAGTAAAAAGCTTCATTATTGGACCAGGCTGCTGTGGTTCTTTAATAGGCTCCAGTCTACTAGGTGCCAGTCTTAATAGGGTCCAGTCTTAATAAGGTCCAGTCTTAATAGGCTCCAGTCCTACTAGGTGCCAGTCTTAATAGGGTCCAGTCTTAATAGGGTCCAGTCTTAATAGGGTCCAGTCTTAATAGGCTCCAGTCCTACTAGGTGCCAGTCTTAATAGGGTCCAGTCTTAATAGGCTCCAGTCTTAATAGGGTCCAGTCTTAATAGGCTCCAGTCCTACTAGGTGCCAGTCTTAATAGGGTCCAGTCTTAATAGGCTCCAGTCCTACTAGGTGCCAGTCTTAATAGGGTCCAGTCTTAATAGGCTCCAGTCTACTAGGCGCCAGTCTTAGTAGGCTCCAGTCCTACTAGGTGCCAGTCTTAATAGGGTCCAGTCTTAATAGGGTCCAGTCTTAATAGGCTCCAGTCTACTAGGGTCCAGTCTTAGTAGGCTCCAGTCTAAACACTTAAGTCTTAGCCCAAACACCAGGATTGGAACAAATTAAGACCGGGTCGTTAAGACTGCCGTATCTGGACTGAGCTGAAATCCTAATGGTATGCTTAGGTTAGGTTAGGTTAGGTTAGGTGGCTGGGGCCTATTAGGGCTAGGCTCGAGTGCCACATAGGTTATTGATTATGATGGGGCCCCATATAGACTGAGGCTGGAATAAGATCGGTCAGTGATTTTGACGTGTGTGATTTTCGGGAGTTAATTCCCGCGGGTAGTGAACCTGTACCGGGTATTGGGGGTGGTTGTCACACGGGCCAGCGGGGTCGGGGTCCTCCTCCCGTAAATTAACTTGATTAAAATTTTGAAATGTGTGGTGATGTAATTATCTGGAGGACAACATGGCGTGCGTCCGGTCTGTGTCACCAGCTGGGCTTGAGGGGGTGACTGGTTGGTCAGATGAACCCCCTGTACTAACTGATCGATGTCCTAACTGACCCCTGTTCTAACTGACCTTTGTCCAAACTGACCCCTGTCTAACTGACCCCTTGTCCTAACTGACCCCATTCCTAACAGTTCCCAATCCTAACTGACCCCATTCCTAACAGTTCCCAGTCCTAACTGACCCCATTCCTAACAGTTCCCAGTCCTAACTGACCCCATTCCTAACAGTTCCCAGTCCTAACAGGCCCCAGTCCTGATAGTTCCCAGTCCTAACAGGCCCCAGTTCTGATAGTCCCAAATCTTTTCTGGTGTAACCTAACAGACCCCAAACTAAGCATATCCTAACATAATCATCAGAACTGTGGCCCAATTCTAAACAGACACCAGTCCTACCAGACCCACCTTTACCGAGATTCTCAATCAGTCGAAGTGAAATCCTCATGTCAGTGGGTTGGCGGCTACGGCCCTCCAATCTAAATATCTTCGTTCTGTCTTACCGAATTCTCCCAGAGTTTGTGTCTTTTTGGTGACCAGAGGTTTTAATTTTGTTTGTCCATCCTGGTCTCTGCCTTGCCCTCTCTACCTTCATTTATAACCATTGATACTGAAAGCATTCTTCCCTCGGCCCTAATTTCATGGCCAAATTATCACGTTTTCCTATTTTATAATTTTTCACTATTCCTCCAGTTGCTGTTGCCAGTCTTAGTACTTTTTTTGTTTTGTACAGCTGCTTCAACATCTTTGTCTAAATTGGCACTGTAGTTTGATCTTGTTTCCTTTTCATTTATGTCTACTCTTCTCTGCCCATCTTTCTTTTAGTTCTGCCTCAAACACACTCTTATTATTGTTACTGTTTTATATTACCGTCACATGTAAATAAATCCTCTTTTGTCTTATCTTTCTCTACATTTCCCTGTGTTTATGTTTTCTGTCATTATCGTCATCATCATCATCATCATCATCATCATCATCATCATCATCATCATCATCATCATCATCACTCAGTGCATTTATTTTTTTTAGAAAGCTTCAGTTGCCTTTACAGTTCATTTAAATTTCTTTTTGAAGTTCTTTATAATCCTAACTTTCTCTGGCCAACTTTCTTCTTCGCTTTATTCTCTTTAAAATCTCATTTACCCAACTTTTTCTCTCTAATTCCCGAAGTTTTGTCCTCACTGTACTCATTACCGGGACATGATCTTCGTCTGGGTTACCGAGAGGTCTTGATATTTTCTCCCAAATAAGATGTTTTATATTTTTGGATCTATATGATATTGTTTTCATATAGAGATGCCTCGGGGTTATGTGTGGATACCATAATGTGTAGTAAGTAATTTTTGGGTTCCCACTGTCATTAAAAATCCTGGAAAAGTATGGAAATAAAAGTAACGTAGTTTTGCAAATGTCAGGGGAATTTTTTTTTAACCTTACCAATCGTGGAAAAATAATGGAACTATAAAAAAAAAACTTGGTCGGCGATTTTCCAACACTTTTTTTGTTTATAAGTTACGTTGTGTTTATGCTTTGTCTTTTACATATTTCCCGCCAATGTTCAACGTGTTTATGTTATGTGTACAGTATGAGGGTAAGAACCTAGGAGAACGTGATGGTTTTGAGTGATGGAATTAGGTGTTCGCGGCATATATCAAGATACAGTCACTCGACTCTGTCCTGCAGTCCCACTTTGTTGTACTCACGTGTAACTGTTGAACTGATGTTAAAGTAACTGTGGTACATGAACCTGTTTGTCCTTTACGGTTCATCATGTGGTTTATAAACATTTACTGGATGTGGTTCAGTGCATTTGAGAGACATGGAAAAACTGCTCCAGGAACACCAGCGTTTTCAAGGTGTCTCGCTAAGTCTCGAAAATGAATATCTCAGATCGACAGTTCAAAGTACTACAGCATCTACACAATGAGGTCAACAGGGCGGCCGTCAACACAGCTCCTCATAACCCAAGCGATGCTCCTTGATCCCACGGCAGCCAAGTTACGGCTCTTAATATAATTTAATTACCAAGTGATAGTGATTATAACTGTATTACTTATGTATCACGGTATTAGTATTTCTCCTGTAGTCATACTATTAAAGAACCGTATCTCAGTTACCTCAGTTTCAAGAGATATTCTGATATAAGATCATTCATAAAGGTGCACATTGTCCCAGTCATCCTCGCCATTCATCTAAGTACAGACTAAATTACGTGTGGTGTGGTGTGGTGCTGTGTGGTGTGCCACAGCCTGGAGCTGTTCCTCGCCCCCAAGACAACAGCGGCTGGCGGACTGCAGACGACGGAAGACTTTCTATTGTCTGGATGACAATAGTGTTCTTGAGTTCATTTACTGCGTCTGCACGCGTGGAAGCAAACTCCCAAAGTGCCATGCAGAGCCTGGCAAGCGGACTACAATACAGTGAGACCCGCAGGCTGCATGGCTGAGACAACACGGCTGGTGACAATGATTTATATGAACAGGAACGAGAAAGGTCTGATAAGGGACGCGATGAGTCATTACGTTCTCTGAATAAAGATGATTCATAACACATTTATCTTTATCTCTTACAGCTGAGGCTCTCCAGGGATGCTCTTTACTCTCATTCAGTCATTCCTCAGTACGTGACCAAGACAGTCAATAGCGAGTTTTGTGACTTCTTGACCTTCATTGATCACCAGCACTGTACGTGTTTAAACAACTTCTTACTAACACAACACCAGATAATATTACAATGACGTATATCTTGTGTTAGTTTAAATTAAGTTAAATTAGGTTAGATTCTTCCTGTACTTAACTCCCCCCCCCCCCTCACCCTTTGTTTTGTTGTCATATGAATTTTTATTAGTTGCTGACCTTATAAGCTGCAACTATATTACGTATATTTCTTAGTATGGTGAAACAGATAGGCGTAAAATCCCTCTCAGGGCATACTCCGTGAGCGCATATACGACGCTATACTACACTAATTTATTTATCGTAGGCCTGTGACTATTATTTCGTGGATATTATTACCCAGAGTGAATAATAGTTGAATCATATTTCTGTATCGTTTCATCATTGTTATTTATTATTATTATTATTATTATTATTATTATTATTATTATTATTATTATTAGACTATAAGGAGTAAGTAGCAGACATTATTAAATGGTTCGCGTTAAAGGCTGACTCATCCATAAACTTTGATTCAGACGAGTATTTATCCCACCCCACCCCACCCCTGCACCTCCCACCCAACCCAACCCACCCCACCCCACCCGCACCTCCCCACCCCGCACCTCCCCAAGATGATCTGGAAGGTACTTACGGGTGGCTTAAGAGAGCTTAGGTTAGATAAAGTTAGATTACGTTAAGGGAGGCCCCAAGAGGGTCCCATTTAACCGAAGACATGAAAACTGGGGCCCATGAATAGGGAAACCTTATTGGGACGGGGTCTATTTGGGTTCTATTAGGACTCCTTTTAATAGACTGGAACCCAATCATAAAAGAGATATTTTATTGGGGAACCCGCTGAACCAATCATCGCCATTCATCACCTCCACGACGATGTGGTGCATGATATACTGAGAGCTGATTGGCTGTCTTCCATGATACTGGCCTCTGATTGGCTGTCTCCCACTACTGATTTATATTCCTCTGTTACAGCGGAGACGGTGATACTTAGTCTTATGTGTGAATATCAAATTTTCTCTCTCTCTCTCTCTCTCTCTCTCTCTTTCTTTCTTTCTCTGCTATTAATACTGATCGTCGATCGATAGCTATTAAGTTAATACAAAAAGTGAAGAAAAGAGAGAGGTGAGAGAAATGGATAGGGGAGAATGAGAGAGAGTAGGGAGGAATGGGGAGAATGAGAGAGAGAGGGGAGGAATGGGGAGAATGAGAGAGAGGGGAGAAATGGGGAGAATGAGAGAGAGAGGGAGAGAAATGTGGAGAAAAAGAGTGGATGAAGTGTTTGGGTTTAAATAAGGCTAACAGTCGTAGAATTTCAAGGAGGAAGTAATGCACCACACCATGTTCCACTCCACACCATGTATCACATACCACACCTTCCGTGGTAAGCTTCTTTGTATGCAGCCTTGAGGGATCTGGTTGTATTTTCAAGCTGTTCGAAGGATTTTTGTATTGTCTATAAAAAAATAATTCGGTTTGGGGAGTAATAATGTGTAAGCCAATGGGGTCATGTTTGTTCTAGCAAGCTCTGGTCTAGTGTCTGTGTGTGTTAGTGTTTTGATTTTGATTTTTTTTTTTGACACTTTGAGGAGGAAATGTTTAAACCATCGTCCTCAAAGGCTTTAAAGTTTAAACCATCGTCCTCGAAGGCCTTAAACCATCGTCCTCAAAGGCTTTAAAGTTTAAACCATCGTCCTCGAAGGCCTTAAACCATCGTCCTCAAAGGCTTTAAACCATCGTCCTCAAAGGCTTTAAACCATCGTCCTCGAAGGCCTTAAACCATCGTCCTCAAAGGCTTTAAACCACCGTCCTCAAAGAGTTAAGTCATCGTCCTCAAAGGGTTGATAATATACCTGGTCCTGGCTGTGGTAATGAAACTCTCCAGTATTTCTACAAAGCGTGTTATTCACATATAAAAATATGGCAGTAGAAGCGGGCTTGAGATAGTGGTGGTGACTACAGCTGTCACAAGTAGAGCCCACACGCGACGACCAGCGCAGGCCACCGACGACCCTCCCTGCATCGCTGCCGGGTACTCTCCTGCAGCAGGGAAGATGAGGAATAGTGTGTTAGTGGCTGCAGGCAGGAACAATATCAGTCACTCATTAACCTCACTGTCTGCGTTGAGGCACAGTTGAACAAAAAACATATAACTCGTCCACGAAAACCATCTAGCAGTCAGGTCAGGAAAGGTGGGAGTTAGTGTGTCTAAAGTATATATAGATATATAGTGGCAAGACGGACCTTATGAATGATGAGCTTGTAAACTATCTTTGCTTCACCCGCTACACCCACATCTGTACCTCTACACCCACCTTTACACCCTCTACACCCACCTTTACACCCTCTACACCCACCTTTACACCCTCTACACCCACCTTTACACCCTCTACACCCACCTTTACACCCTCTACACCCACCTTTACACCTCTACACCCACCTTTACACCCTCTACACCCACCTTTACACCCTCTACACCCACCTTACACCTCTACACCCACCTTACACCTACACACCTACACCCACCGTCTACACCCACCTCTACACCCACCTTTACACCCTCTACACCCACCTTTACACCCTCTACACCCACCGTTACACCTCTACACCCACCTTTACACCCTCTACACCCACCTTTACACCCTCTACACCCACCTTTACACCCTCTACACCCACCTTTACACCCTCTACACCCACCGTTACACCTCTACACCCACCTTTACACCCTCCACACCCACCTTTACACCCTCTACACCCACCTTTACACCCTCTACACCCACCTTTATGGACGTGCACAGTGATGGAGTGGTGGATGGAGTGTGCGGGGCTGCAGGTATAGACGCCAGAGTCCCGAGGTGCGGCGTCCTTCACTACCAGTTGGCTCACACTCCTCCCAGCCAGCTGTGTCCTCACCCACACCCTCACCCCGTCCTCCAGCACCATCTGTGAGAAACCCATTAGTGACAGATACGAAGACAGACAGACAGATAGACAGACAGACAGATAGACAGACAGACAGATAGACAGACAGACAGTCAGACTAGGAAAATACAGTGACTGGTTGATAAAATTGCTGGTTTGTTTTTTGTCGTCTTTATATTAATTATTGAATCTGTAACAAAAACACTCCTAGAACATCCTACAAACACTCCTAGAACATCCTACAAACACTCCTAGAACATCCTACAAACACTCCTAGAACATCCTACAAACACTCCTAGAACATCCTACAAACACTCCTAGAACATCCTACAAACACTCCTAGAACATCCTACAAACACTCCTAGACCATCCTACAAACACTCCTAGACCATCCTACAAACACTCCTAGACCATCCTACAAACACTCCCCTACAAACACTATCCTACCATCCTCCCAGACCATCCTACACTCCTAGACCACATCCTACAAACACTCCTAGACCATCCTACAAACACTCCCAGACCATCCTACAAACACTCCTAGACCATCCTACAAACACTCCTACAAACACTCCCTAGACCATCCTAACCACAAACACTCCTAGACCATCCTACAAACACTCCCAGACCATCCTACAACAAACCTCCCAGACCATCCTACAAACACTCCTAGACCATCCTACAAACACTCCCAGACCATCCTACAAACAACACTCCAGACCATCCTACAAACACTCCAGACCATCCTCCTAGACCATCCTACAAACACTCCCAGACCATCCTACAAACACCCTAGACCATCCTACAAACACTCCTAGACCATCCTACAAACACTCCCCAACATCCTCCTGAACCATCCTACAAACACTAGACCACCTAGACCATCCTACAAACACTCCTAGACCATCCTCCTCTAAACACTCTGAACCATCCTCCTAGACCATCCCACAAACACCCCAACCATCCAAACACCTAGACCATCCTACAAACCTCCCAGACCATCCTACAAACACTCCCAGACCATCCTGCAAACACTAGACCATCCTACAAACACTCCCAGACCATCCTACAAACCTCCCAGACCATCCTACAAACACTCCTAGACCATCCTACAAACACTCCTAGACCATCCTACAAACAAACCATCCTCCCATCCTACACACTCCTAGACCATCCTACAAACTAGAGACCATCCTACAAACACTCTAGACCATCCTAGCAGACAAACACTCCTAGACCATCCTACCACCCAGACCACTCCTAGACCATCCTACAAACACTCCCAGACCATCCTACAAACACTCCTAGACCATCCTACAAAACCCCAGACCATCCTACAAACACTCCCAGACCATCCTCATCTCCTAGACCATCCTACAAACACTCCCAGACCATCCTCCTAGACCATCCTACAAACACTCCTAGACCATCCTACAAACACTCCTAGACCCTCCTACAAACACTCCCAGACCATCCTACAAACACTCCTAGACCCTCCTACAAACACTCCTAGACCCTCCTACAACTCCATCAAAAGCTTATTTAAACTCCTACCCAAAAAAAAAAGTCTTTAAGCTTCAGACTTGTGTTTCTTCCCCGAGGATAAACCTTTACTCTCCACAAGATAAGTGTGAAAGTTCGTCAATTTTCTCCACTAAAACTTTTCCCAAATAGAGTTTATCTTCTGCCAGACGTTCATGAGATTCTCCTTCATGTGTAGATGATGTTCCTATACACGCTTGGTTTTGGTGTGTGTGTTGGTCTGCACTTGTGGCGTGGTGGGAGGAGGGAGGGAGGAAGGTGTAGGTATAGGTGTGAGGGGAGGGAGGAAGGTGTAGGTATAGGTGTGAGGGAGCGAGGAAAGGTGTGTACAGGTAGATGTAGATAGTCAAGGAACCTAGGGTCGTGTACCTGTACTATCATGCATTACACACACACACACACACACACACACACACACACACACACACACACACACACACACACTCTCTCTGCTACAGCCTACATATCATAATGACCTCCCGGCCAGAGACACACCAAGCAGTATTCTCACAACCAGGATTCAACCAAGCTAATCCTCCCAGCCTCCTACCTAACCTAACTTAACCCAACCTAACCCAACCTAACCTAACCTAGCCTAACCTAGCCTAGCCTTGATTAATTTAAGTGAGTCAGAAATACACATTACTGGAGATGCTGAACATATAAGAATCTTACCTGTATTCCAATTAACACCTGTACCCCCCACACACCAACACCTGACACCTTAATAACAACAAGGTATGTGTGTGTGTGTGTGTGTGTGTGTGTGTGTGTGTGTGTGTGTGTCGTGGCCATTAGCCTGTCACCCAATTAGATTATGGAGCTGTGATGGTAATGTATGATTGGGAACTAAGTTTATGATAGCTTATTATGGTAGCTAATTATGGTTGCTATAGTGGTACATATGGTAGTAACGCTGTGATGATAGTCTATGGTAATGGTACTAACTGTGGTATTTATGGTAATGATAATACCAGGATATTTCACAACGGTACTAATTAGGTAATATTTATGGTAGTTACAGTAATACCATCATACCTATCATACCTCATGGGTGTAATTGGATGGAATGGTATCAGTTACACTTACCCGCTCCTTGTGGTACCAGTGTAGGTAGTCTGGGGGCTCCGGGGAGTATGGTACCACACACGTCAGGTTGATGACTGAGCCGATACCAACATGAATGTCCGACGCACCAGCTATCTTGGCCTCTGGTTCTGTACGAGGGTAAAGTATAGGTGGGGGAGTTAGTGGTTCTGTACGGGGGTAAAGTATAGGAGGGGGGGTTAGTGGTTCTGTACGGGGATAAAGTATAGGTGGGGGGTTAGTGGTTCTGTACGGGGTAAAGTATAGAGGGGGTTAGTGGTTCTGTCGGGGTAAAGTATAGAGGGGGTTAGTGGTTCGTACGGGGCAAAGTATAGGAGGGGGGTTAGTGGTTCTGTACGGTAAAGTATAGGAGGGGTAGGTTCTGTACGGGGGTAAAGTATAGGAGGGGTTAGTGGTTCTGTTCGTAAAGTATAGATTTTTTCCCAGCTGGTTTACGACACGCGATTCTATTTTATCGAGCAAAATCGTTAATTTACAACATACACAGCTTCTTGATCTACGTCACTTGACTCATCACCGTCATCTGTTATCTGCCAACCATCTTTACTTACACCTTGAGAACCCTCCGAGATGTTGTTTGTGCTCTGGAGGTGAAAATGTCAAAGCAACACCCGGGTGAGTTAGTCTCCCTCTGTTTGCTTACCTCTCCGCACAGTTAGATTTTCTCTCATCTTTTGTTTTTTACATCGGATCAGCTTGGTGTGGGGTAGGTAGTCGGTGAGAGGAGGTGGGTAACACTTACCTACAACAGTAAGGTGGGTGGTGCGGGCGGTGGGCGGGGTACTGGACACCTGACAATCATACTGGCCTGAGTCTCGTGGGCGGGCATACTTTAGTCTCAACATCCAGTCTCCCTGACCTTCCTGGGGTACTGCCTCGAACCTGGAGTCACTCGTATACGTCACTGACCCCACCGAGAGTATATGTAGGTCTCGATGCCTGATCCACGACACCTGTAGAGGAGAACACACCTGTAAAGTATGAATGGCTCCAAGAACACCTGCCAGCGTAACATTCTCTTTAATTCCTTATTACCTGCAAGTTGAGGTTTAATAGAACAGTCCATAAACACATCGCTAACTGCATATTAAACAAGGTTGGTGTAATGATAGTTAAGGAGAGATGATGAGGTCGTTAAGGTAAGGTGGTGTTATTAAGGTGACGCTGACGTGTTGACTGAGGCGACTAATATGATGCTATTTTGTTTATGCTACACACACACACACACACACACACACACATGTATCTGAAATCGGAAAAAAAAACAGTGCTCCAACTGGAATGGTAAATAACACCCCGCGTGTCTGGAATTCCTAACCCGTATTCCTCTGAGGTGGATGAGGAAGGAAGGGGGGGGGGAATTGGTGAGTGGAAGGAAAGTGGGGAGGAGGGGAAGGAGAGGAAGGAAATGGGGCGGAGAAAAGTGAGGATGGTGAGATGGTGAGAGAAGGTAGGGAAGAGAGGAGAGGAGAGGAGATGGAGAGAAGGGAAGATAACGTGAAGGAAGGAGTGAGGAAAGATGGTGGAAGAGTGAAGGGAGGTTAGGTTTGGTTAGATTTAGTCTTATTAGGACTTGGACTCGTTTAACCACTCTTATCAATCCAACTTTGCTGACCTTTCAACTAACGGCTTCAACCATGATCTTTGGAGAACAATTCCTGTTATATGTCACAAGTCAAAGTTCAAACACAGTCTATATACGTTACTCGGGTACAGCTGACGTCACACCACCAACACAGGCGGGAGGTGCGCGGGAAAGTGAGTGTTAAGAGCAGGAGTTTTCCGACTCGGTGAATTATTCATTTAATGGAGATTTTGAATAGACATCTGAGGCTGTTGGGAGTTATGTAATATATACCAGTCCAGTCCCAGTACAGCGAGGAGGAGGAGGAGAACAGGGAGGGGGAGGACGAGGGAAGTAGTAGGAAGAGGAGGGAAGGAAGAGGAGGGAAAAATAGGTGGAGAAGTAGGGAAAGGAGGAACTTGATGTGGGAGACGCTGCTGGAGATATAAATATGAAGTGGTCAGGAGTCTCACACACATATATATATATATATATACATATATATATATATATATATGTTGGGGGAGGACGGTTCAATTCTGTCACACATACACAGCACCTCACTCACTACCCACAAATAATAAATTCTTCCTTGACGTGAGTAGAAATCTTCCTGTGGCAGTAAATCGCTCCCCACTTCAAGGTGTGAAGCCTTATTTCTAGATACATCAGCCAGTATGTAAGTACTGCCACCACGATGAATAACCCTGGGGCATGATCTGATCCATGGCCCTTACACCAATCCTCCCCGTCACCCCCGTCACCCTGCTTCACCAACACCTCACCCTGCAGCGCTACAGTAAAATATTCAAATGGCAGTCATTTGGCAGAATTAGAATTACAGTCGGTGTAAAAAATAAACAGAGTGGGAACTAATACTAAACCCTGGTGAACTCCGGAACTGAAAACCTAACTTAACCTAACCCTAACCTGGACCTAGAACCTTGTAAGGGTTAGAATATCCATAACATTCTGAACAGTTTTTAGGATAGTGAGTGCGCGCGTGAGTGAGTGAGTGAAATGAGTTAAGAGAAGGAATAGTTGTGAGAGGCTATTGAAGCTTTTGTTGAATACATTACAAATGAAGACAAATACCTTACTTTTATTTCATTTGTTCAAGAGTTTGGAAGACTTAATAATTTACGCTAAAGAAACCTCAACCAAGAATAAGGAAAAGCATTTATAGAGCTAGCTGATTCAGTGCCGGATTTAGACCTGTGGAGGCCCATGGGCAGCCTCTTTGTGGAGGCCCCTCTCATTATAACTACCCAAGAGGGTGGGGTGGCGAGTGAAGCGAGCCTAAACATCTGGGAGTTCCGGGGGGCGCTGTAAGCCCCCCGGGAAAATTTTGAAATTTGAACACTTCTTTGGAGAATTTTGAAGCCATATGCAGTTATATTAAAAATATTAAAAATATACGGTTCATAGGAAAGCCAGGTATTCATGAATTTCAAGGAGTAGCTAGCCTAATTTCTATCACGTTTCTTGCTGAACATAGTTTTACGTGATGGAATAGATAAACATGAATTTTAAAGAATGAAAATAAAAATAATCCAAATGAATAAACAAATAAATAAAATTTTGTAATATGTGGAGGCCCCCAGATTGTGGAGGCCCCTGAGCTGACTATTTTGGGTCTTTTTTTGTGTTTTGAGCATCACTTACGGAATTGTTGCCGAGGTTGTGGACTATACAGGACAGTAGAGCCGTCTTGGAAGCTGTGACCGTGATGTTGGTGGGCACGAGAGGGTCAAACACTGGGGGTAGGGTTGGCCCGGGTATGGTGGGAGGGGGCACCACATGACGAGCTTCCCGTGACCATGACCATACACACTCTAAGAGGGAGAGGATGGAGAGAAAAATTAAGGTCACATTGAACATAATTACCCTACCAAGACTGGGGGCTCACACACACACACACACACACACACACACACACACACACACACACACACTATTGGGGCTGTTCTCTGAAGACAGTTAGAAAGAAAAACTTGATCAATTAAAGACATCTTGGGTATTTGGTGATCAGGTGTAAGACGGAATTTTCTTACTTAAGTCGAGGATCTGTAGTGAGTCATTATTAGTGTTTGTGGAGTAGTTGTGGTAGTAGTTATAGTTGGTGTTGTAGTAGTATTAATAGTTATTGTTGTTGTAGTAGTTGTTGTTGTTGTTGTTGTATTAATAGTTGTAGTAGTTGTTGTTGTTGTTGTTGTTGTTGTATTAATAGTTGTAGTAGTTGTTGTTGTTGTTGTAGTAGTAGTTGTTGTTATTGTTGTTGTAGTTGTTGTTGTTGTATTAATAGTTGTTGTTGTTGTAATAATAGTTGTTGTTGTTGTAGTAGTTGTTGTTGTTGTTGTATTAATAGTTGTTGTTGTTGTAATAATAGTTGTTGTTGTAGTAGTTGTTGTTGTTGTTGTATTAATAGTTGTTGTTGTAATAATAGTTGTTGTTGTTGTAGTCGATATCTTACGGTGTGTCCTATAATCTGGGGGGAGGGGAAGTATCGTTATTATCCGTGTGTCGTAATTTCCATAAGTCAGTTCAGTAGGAAGTGTAAAATGGTGAGAGAGGACGGTGTGTGTGGGGGAGGGGAAGGCTATGTGTACTGTACGTGTGTGTGTGTCTGTCTTTACTATGTGTACACTCTCTCTCTCTCTCTCTCTCTCTCTCTCTCTCTCTCTCCTTCCTCCCACTTTCCTTCCCCCGATTTCCTTCCACCATCTTCTTCCCCACCTCCTCCTTCCCTCCTCTCAATCTTCAACCTTCTATCCCTCACCTCCTTCCCCTTCTTCACCTTCTTCTCCCCACCTCCTTCTCCCCACCTCCTTCAAGTTCGACAGAGAGCTGCTGAATGTTACTACTTAAGTTAAGGACATATGGGGACATTTTTGGAGCCCCTGTTGACTGTAGCAAAAAAAAAAAAAAAACATAATCACTGGACGAAGTCGTGTGTGTGTGTGTGTGTGTGTGTGTGTGTGTGTGTGTGTGTGTGTGTGTGTGTGTGTGTGTGTGTGTGTGTGATAGACTGACCTGGAAGAGAGCAGGGTCCACAATACCAATACTAATGACACCACCTTCAGTAGTACCTGTTGGCAGCTCCATCTTGTGCGACACCTGTGGATTTAGAGCATACGTGGATTATAACTCTCTCTCTCTCTACACACACACACTTAATTAACCAAGATTCGAATCCTCAGAGTTTTGTTGAATTTCTTTCGTAACTGGAGAAGTCAACATCATTTTATCCAGCTCACGTAAAAGCTAAACCAAAAACTTACTTGAAAAAATGGCTTAAAAGATATTCTGAGAGACTCCACTTGAACCAGATAAGTATAGTCTCAGCAGCAGTTAAGGGAGAGTGTTTTAGTGTTGGGTTCTGTGGGGTCCTGTGTTGGGTTCCTGTGGGCCCCAAAGGTTCTTGTGGGGTCCTGTGTTGGGCTCTGTGGGGTCCTGTGTTGGGCTCCTGTGGGGTCCTGTGTTGGGTTCCTTGTGGGGTCCTGTGATGGGTCTTGTGGGGTCCTGTGTTGGCCCTGTGGGGTCCTGTGTTGGGTTCTTGTGGGGTCCTGTGTTGGGTCTCTGTGGGGTCTTGTGTTGGGTCTCTTGTGGGGTCCTGTGTTGGGTTCTTGTGGGGGTCCTGTGTTGGGTTCCTTGTGGGGGCCCTGTGTTGGGGTTCCTGTGGGTCCTTGTGTTGGTCTTGTGGGGTCCTGTGTTGGGTTCTCTTGTGGGGTCCTGTGTTGGGTTCTCCTTGTTGGGTCCTGTGTTGGGTTCTGTGGGGTCCTGTGTTGGGTTCCTTGTGGGGTCCTGTGTTGGGTTCTTGTGGGGGTCCCAGGATGGCTCCCTGTGGGGTCCTGTGTTGGGTTCTTGTGGGGTCCTGTGTTGGGTTCTTGTGGGGTCCTGTGTTGGGTTCTTGTGGGGTCCTCTTTCTCTATTGCAAATAATCTAATAATTTTCTGTACTTTTTTTTTCGTTATTAAGATCGTTAGTTTAGTTTATTTTTGGTTTTAATTAGCCTTACCTACCCTACCCCCCAATTAGGTTAGATTAGGTGAGGTTGGTTGAAGAAATTATTTTAATTTTCTGCGGCCAGAATAATAATAATAGTAATGATGATGATAATAATAATAATAAATAGCAATTACTACTACCAATATTCTTACTATTACTACTTTCTTTTTTTCAATAAACATGGCTTCCAACCTCTCCTACTACTACTACTACTACTACTACTACTACTACTACTACCACTACTTTTTTTTATTTATTTATAATAACGTGGCCTCCAGCCTCCCCCAATAGCCACACCTTCGCCGCCATTTATTTACCTTAATATTAAATATCCTAATACATAAGAAGCTATCCTAACTGTGTTAGATTAGTTGAGCCGCAGATCTATGCGGCATTCAGTGACTGTAGCCTCATAGTCAATATCTGCAGCAGTTGTCGGCGTAGGGGCAGAAGCTCTCGTTCCCCTGAGGCAGAGCAAAGCCGACCGAAGGAGAGAGAAGGACAGTCGATATCTCATCCAGGCTGTAACATAACTTCTGGGCTGCTGCTTCTGTTCGGAGATCAACTCCGCGAGTCTGGCGTAGAAACATCTTGCACTTGGGCCCATCCCACCAGAGGTTGTGAACACTAGAGGAGTGAAGCTGCCTTGATCAACATTTTGAATTCCCTCCCCATATGCCCGTCTCTTGTCGTTCTCGTTCCTCCTATGTGCAGCATCGAGAGCTAGGTTACGGTGACAAGCGGCCATGGGATCAAAAATCCTGATGTCGAAGAAAGCTCGCTGTCCCCGCGTCCAGAATCCTCGAGCACTGACATCCACACGGGCTTCGTTAGATGTGTTTGAAGTCCTACTACTACTACTATTACTCCTACTACTACTACTAATCCTACTACTCCTACTCCCAACACCACCACCACTGCTACCAATAATACTTCACTTACAATTTGGTGAACGAAATGTGAATACAAACCCCACCCTACAACAGCTAGTCCACTCAATTATACCATAAAACTCTTTGCATAGATGGCGGCTTCACACTCTTATCCCCCGCACCCATAAGTATTAAACAATAACTTGGTCTATAAGGGTCTAACTTTCCATCACCAGACGAAAATTAAAAAACGAAAAAAAAAAAATATTGATGGGTGAAATAATATTGTTGCCGAATAATTATACATGATTTTTACGATTTTCTGAAGATGGTATATATGTGTGTTCGGTTTTTTTTTTTTCGTTTTGGTATCTCGATTTGTGATTTTATTCGTGGACGACTTTGCCGATCACCAACGAAGGTGACATCTTTAATAACTCATATCATTGTATCATAGCTGGATGATCGTCATATTCTATTCCGAGTGACAGCAAAGTAGTAGTAGTAGTAGTAGTAGTAGTAGTAGTAGTAGTAGTAGTAGTAGTAGTAGTAGTAGTAGTAGTAGATTGTATGTGTGTCTGGGGAGTGTATGTGTGTAGGGGTGTATGTGTGTGTGGTGGTGTACGTGTGTGTCTGGAAGTGTATGTATGTATGTATGTATGTATGTATGTATGTATGTATGTGTCTGGGGTGTACGTATGTATGTATGTGTGTGTGTCTGGGGGTGTATGTATGTATGTATGTGTGTGTGTCTGGGGGTGTATGTATGTATGTATGTATGTATGTATGTATGTATGTATGTATGTATGTATGTGTGTGTCTAGGGGTGTATGTGTGAGTAAGTGAGAGGAGTGACTGAGAGAAAAAGAAAGTGAGAGAAAGAGAGAGTGAGTAAGGTGGTAATGGAGGCTCAATTCCAGTGATAGTGTCAGGGACTGGTCATTTACCCCGGCCTGAGAGCCACCCAAACTGATCACTCCATTTCCATTTCCTTCGAGAATTTGGCGCCGCATTGCTGAAACTTTTTACCATGAGAACTATTGAAACTTTTTACCTTGACATCTGAAACTTTTTACCACGACATCTGAAGGTTTTTACTTTGACATCTGAAACTTTTTACCTTGAGAATGGGTGATTGCTCTCTCTCTCTAATTAGCCTCAGACCTATTGGACCCTATTCGAAATTGGCATCAATCCTAATTGCCCTTAACTCTCATGACTAGGTTAGATCAGACTAGTTATGGCACACTAACAGTTCCGTACACCAGTAGTTGTACACCACATTTCCTGGACAGTTGGGAAATACTTGTGTTATTTGTAGTGTGTTGGGCAGCGGGCCTTGTCCTGTTAAACTATGAACAATGTGACTACACTGGTCCAGTGGTCGTGAATGGAATACTTTCGGTATTTTTTATATAAACTCATACGTGTGAGAGTTTACAGTGTGTGTGTGTGTGTGTGTGTCTACGGTACCTCCTGCCTACATCACCATAATTACTTGTTCTTACTATAAATTCACGAATGTTATCACTACTGTCTCATGAGAGAGAGAGAGAGAGAGAGAGAGAGTAAATTCTATCCCTGTATGAACAACGCTCACAGATCCGCTCTCAGAATCTGCCTTGTAAATCATCAATTGAGAAGCCAGAGAGAAACACTAAACACTTGAGCCTCGTCTTGTATGCACAGTCAGGCGCCTGGCTTGTTCTCCGCCACACAGCACCATGGCACCTGGAATTGCTATCTGTCTGTCCTTCCGTGTGTGTGTGTGTGTGTGTGTGTGTGTGTGTGTGTGTGGGTGGGTGTGGGGGTGGGGTGTGTGTGTGTGTGTGTGTGTGTGTGTGTGTGTGTGTGTGTGTGTGTGTGTGTGTGGGTGTGTGGGTGGGTGTGTGTGTGTGTGTGTGTGTGGGTGGGTGGGTGTGTGTGTGTGGGTGGGTGGGTGGGTGTGTGTAGTGTTCCTCTCAGCCTTAACACAACTGGGTGAAGTACTGGACACTGGGT